TTTATAAATGGTGAGACAGTAGTGTGGATGCCTTGGTTCTAGGCAAGGTAAGATGAATGAAAGTTTACTTGTCACGTCCCCAGAGCAAAATCTGAATTCTAGTAGGAAGAAGAAAGCCAAAGAACAGGTAGCCAGGAAATAGCCAGGAAATGAGAGATGAGGATTAGACTTGTGATTTCATTGGTATAGGGAACTCCTAGGTAAGGAAAGTCCTTCTACCAATGCAGGTCCATAACTGTTTCTTCAGTGTATGGTCTTAGAGCTTTCCAAACCACTGAGAAATTAAGTGACTTGACCATGGTCACACAGTCAATATATGTCAGAGACAGGACTTGAACCCAGATCTTCCTGGCTTAAAGACCATCTCTATGCCCTACATGAAAACCACAAAGTACTATGAAATGTATAATGTTATTATTGTACAAGGTCATAATAACTGAAATTTACAGAGACCTTGAAAGTTTACAAATCATTTTACCTACATCATCTCATTTGGCCTCATAACAACCCCATGAAGTGTGTACTATTATTACTACTATTTCACAAATGAGAAAACAGAGAAACAGAGACATTAAATTCAGCTGAAATGAAAACTCAGGCCTTCAAACTGTCTACACAGTCCTTTTTTGACAATATAACACACTGCTTCAGAAAATAGAACAGAAAAGTGGACACCTTCACTTGAATTTTGAGACCAGCTACTATTTTATCTATGAATTCCCAGTGCCTAGAACATAGTAGGCAATTAATAAATGATTGTTGACTGATTGAACCAGGAGCATCTGGAAGAACATTCCACTGCTCAGAGCTGCTTAGCTGTCCTCCCTTACTTTATGATATCTGAGCAGCAGATACATGTTAACAGATTGAGAGAAAGCAAACAAGAAGATTAATGGGCATCAGTTTCTTGAATGAATTTGGAGAGATTAGATAAACCCGTAGAAGATTAAAAACCCATTCTTTGTCTTAAATGACAAAATAAAAAATTTAAGGAGATAAATGTCAAACTTCTTGATAGAATTTTTAAACAATGAACCAGATGATTCATTGGGCAGGATCAGTGTAGTATAGGAAGAAATTGAAATTGGGGAAAGATATAAATTTAACTCAAAAGAAAAAGAAATCTGAGGAGAATTCCTAAAAATGTAGATGAATCTCTCAAGGGAAAGATTTTAGCTACTGAAATGTGGGGAAATCTCCTAATTAACTTATTCCCTGACCTCTTTTTAACCTTAATTTTAATCTTGTTTTCCAGTTTAAATTGCTTGAACATTGGTTCCCAAACTTTTTGAAAATAAAATCCCTTATACCCTTCACAGTTATGATTGCTGTTTCCTCCCATCCTATTTTTCCTGATATTTTTCCTTTTCTCTCTCTTTTTACCCTTTTTTTCTCAAAAATCTCTTTTACTTCTGACTTCTGCCTCCCTTAGTCATTCTCTTCCCTTCTATCAACACCCCCTTCTTCTTCCCTTACCTTCCTACTTCCATGTTGGGTGAGATAGATTTCTATACCCAACTGAATGTGTATATTATTCCCTCTTTGACCCAATTCAAATGAGAAAAATGTACAAACGTTGCTCCACTCATTTTCCTTTAGATTGTCAAAGCTCTTTCTTTCTCATCTCTTTTATGTAAGATAATGATAAATGTCTTGAACTTCTGTGCAATAATTGTAGGGCTCATGAAATGCATCTTAGTGATATGGACTGTACCTGTAGTCTCTTTTGTAGAAGGAACTCTGAGGTGAGAAAACTTTTACTGAAGTAGGTCAGTACCTTCTCTGCCACTTATAGTCTTAGAGAGTTGCCTGAAAAGACTGAGGAGCTAAGTTAGCTAGCACACCTAGGATATATCAAAAGTAGATCTTGACCCCAGGTCTTCGTGGTTTTGAGGCCTGTTCTTTTCTCACCATAACATACTGTCCTGCAATACCAAAATGAATGATATTTGGTGCCAATATGGGTGCCTATATGGGTTAATAGGCATCTTGTGATAACTCCCAAGGATCCTAGTCCACGGATTGGAAACCACTGTGCTGATAGTATACTTTCCTTAAGTCTGATCCTTGATTTTCTCATTTATAAAATGAGAGATTTGACTACATTAGTAGTCTTAAAATGTTGAGTAGTTTGTCATCTAGATTTCAGGGATTCCAATGAACTTGGATGAGAAAAAAATGCATTATAATTCTCACTAACCTTTGGCTTCCCTTATAATCCTATGTATTTAATTTTATTTATTTAAAACATTATTTTGATAATGTTAATTATTTACATTCCTATTTGAGAAGATGATATTTGTAACTCCTTTTAAAAAATAATTAATTCATTTATTGTTAGTTTTCAACATTCACTTCATAAGATTTTGAGTTTTAAATTTTCTCCCCTTCTCTATCCTTCCTGCTCCCCAATATTTGTAACTCTTAAGAAAGTTATCATTATTAAGACAATTAGGAGTATGCATAGAAAGAGGGCATGAATGTGAGTTGACTATGATGAGGTGATTTAAAAAAAATGACTGTGAAAGAGGGATGCACTGGGAGAAGAAGGAAGAAAGAGGAAGAATAGGGAAAACAATCTTACATAAAAGAGGCATGCAATGAAGAGATTTTTTAATTGAAGGGAAAATGAAGGGTGACACTTGAACCTTATTCTCATTGGAACTGTCTTAAAGAGGGAATAATATACATATTTGTTGGGCATAGAAATCCATCTCACCCAACGAGTAAGTAGGAGGGGAAGGGAATAAAAGGGGGGACATTGATAAGGGAGGAGGATTAAGGGAGGCAGTGGTCAAAAGTAAAACAGACTTTTTAGAAGGAACAGGGTAAAAAGAGAGAGAAGAGGATAAACAGGATAAAATAGGATGGAGAGAAATACACAGTAATCATAACTATGAGTGTGAATGGAATGAACTCTCCCAAAAAACAGAAGTGGATGGTAAAATGGATTGGAAACAAGAATCTAACAATGCATCATTTACAAGAAACACATTTGAAATAGAGAGATACATACAGAGTATAAAAAAAAGGGTAGAGGGTTGGAGCAGAATTTATTATGCTTCAGCTGAGGTTAAAAAAAAAGCAGGAGTAACAATCATGATCTTAGACAAAGAAAAAGCAAAAATAGATCTAATTAAAAGAAATAATCAGGGAAACTACATTTTGGTAAAAGATGCTATAGACAATAAAGTAATATCAATACTACACATATATGCATCAAACGGCATAATTGACCACATCAATAACAAAAACAAAAAAAATCACATGATAATCTCAATAATTGCAGAAAGAGTTTGAGAAAAATACAATATTCATTCCTATTAACGACATTAGAAAACATAGGAATAAATGGAGCTTTCCTTAAAATGATAAGTAGTATCTAAATAAAACCAGGGGCTGCTAGGTGGTACAGTGGAAAGAGCACTGGGCTTGAAATCAGGAAAACTGGTCTTCTTGAGTTTAAGTCTGGCCTCATGTACTTATTAGTCATGTGACTCAGTGTCTTTGTCAAGAAAACCCCAAATGGGTCACAAAGAGTCAGACATGACCGAACTGACTGAATTATAAGATACCTTTTAGCTTAATTTTTTTGTTGTTATTGTTGCCATGATTCTATGGTTCTATTAGAAGAAGGTGAGGTTACTTTCTGCCATGGGAATCATGAATCAAAAATCATAAAGAAAGTAATATTGAAACAGCATCTTAAAATAAGGGTAGAATTTCATCAGAAAGGAGACTAGGAAGAAGGGTGATGGGAAGCAGGAAGAGAAACCATTCTAGGTACAGGAATGTTATGGAGAGGCAGAATGAGTTTGGAACTATGATAAACTATAGAAATAGTAATTGGTTTATTCTATCAAGAGGGCATTTAAGTTATGGCCTTCTTATGTTAGCATACACAGGTATAGCCTGAAAGTGCATATAAAGCCTCAAAATGTGAGCTGTTTCCCCATTCTCTCTACGAGCTAGAATTCAGGTTTATATGTGTTTATGTATAGTCAGAGAGTAGGGGAGGCCGACGTAGCTTAAGGCCATCTAGGATTGTTTGAAACTTCTTAGGATTTGGATGTAAGAGGCCTCAAAGGACATCCACTTCAACTCCTTCCTGAACAAGAATTCCCTGTACAGAGTCCTCAAATTTTTAAAACCATGTATGTTAAAAATAAATAGCAATTTTAAAAAATAGCAATAAAAACATTATTTTGAGAAGTGGTCATTAGATTTCATCAGGCTACCTACCATCTACACAAAAAAGATTAAGTCCCTGAGAATAGATCAATGCTAGGGTCTCCTTATGCTCTAACACTCTTTTTTTATATCCCGAGATGCTTTCTGATTCTAACATTTCATGTTCTGAGATTCTATCCAGCTATGAAATTCTCTTTAGTAAGGTTCTTTCCAGACAGCTCTAACATTCCATATTTTGAGGCCCAATTTGCCTGCTTAAAATATCCACCCCTTAATGTGGCATCTGGTGGCACCACAAATAGAAGGCTAGTCCCGATATCAAGAAGACCTAGGTTCAAAGCCAGCTTCACATACTTAATAAGTCTATGACTCTGGTTGTTTCTGTTTCCTCAACTTTAAAATAAGGATAGTGATACACCTACTTCACAGGTTTGTCCTGAGGATCAAATGATATAATATATGTAAAAGCACTTCATGCAGTGCTTGTCACACAGTAGGAACTATATAAATGCTTATTCCATTCCCTCTCCTATTTTCCCTTTTACTTACATAGATTTTATCACCTCCATTTCCTTAGCACTCCTTGACATGATGTGAAGTTGCTCCTAAATTTAGAGCAGGGCCCCCAAACTGACAACCCAGGTATCCTTGGTTTATGTTTTCAACATGTAATTCTGACATAAAGATTATCTTATTTTGCTTCATTGTTGCAGGATATGGGAAGGAAGAAGCATTAAGGTAAAGCCTGGGAACTTTGAACACTATCTTGAAAGTAACTTTGCCTCCTTGTATGTCTGTTCTCTCCCCAGAGGCTCCTGCTCCAGTTGGCTCTCTGTGCATCATTAAAACAGTCGGCCAGAGGTGTTTAATGATTGGCTGGGAAAGGCCACTGGTGGATGAGTTGGGCTGTAGCAATGGGACTTTTGTTGCAGGATACCGGGTATGTAGAGCTAGAGGCTGACCATTTGTACACTTGCTACTGAAAATTTAGACTGGTTTCTTAATAATATCATATCTTGGATAATATCACTAATGAGTTATAGTAGGCAGAATGCTAGATCTGGAGTCAGAAGACCTGTGTTCAAATCTCAGCTGTGCCACTTATCACTGAATTTCACCCGTCCTTAAGCCTTCTTTGATCCCTCTGGGCAATCACTACTTTTTTTCCTCTGCATATAATAGTTTGTTTGTACCTCCCTCTTGTGTGAATGTATTACTTCATATAATTATTAGAGTAGAGGACATGTAGAATATAAAAGGCAATGTAAAAGTCATCTAGTATTCATGTTATTGTTCTATAGACACTAAGTTCATCCAATGATGGAGAATTCAGTGTCTCATGTGACACTCTACTATTGGCTAGCTTTAAAGCTGTCTAAGCAGATCAACATTTACCCAGAGGAGGTTCATGCAGGAGATGGCACAATTGTAAAGGAAGATCAATGCTGAAGGTATCTGGGAGAATTAAGGACACCAAATAGGAAAAAAAGGTATTATTGCAACCCAAAAAAAGCGATCAAGAAAATATGAGCAACCACCCACCCACCCCTCTGCCTTCTTTCCTATCACTAGAAAATCTTTATGGGATTTATCTATTTATCACTTCAAGTTATTGCTGCAAAGATAATAGGGAAAATTGAAGTCTTTTATGAATTATTTCACAGCAAACATATCATCATAGCCACAACTGATCGAAAGATTTAGAGAATGCCAAAATCTCATTGTATATCATCTAAAAATAAGTATTTGATTTCCCAGAGCAACATTCTATCTTAAAAGGTCTCCTTCAACAATATGTCTTCCATGAATATGGTAAAAACCGTACCAAATTTCTTGGAAAGTGTAACAACAGAGACAATTTTGACCATTGACCTTCTATTAGTGGCCAAAGTGCTTGCCACTGTCATAGTGAATGGGCAGTGCAGAATCAAAGTCAAGAAGGTATGCCATGAACTTGCTAAGTTTCTCCAGGTGCTCCTGTTTCTGGATAACCTTTTGCTGATTACATTAAACCACAGAAGATGTTGGAGGTTCTGAAATAAGATGCATAATCACCCAAGAGAGTTTGTCCTAACTATTCACCCACACAACAAAAATTAAGTGGAGAAAGAAAGTCTATTGTTAAGACCCCAATATAGATTTGATTGTATAGCCCACATAACTCATCTGTCTGCACATGTGTCTTAGCCAGATATTACAGATTGATAATGTACAGGAACTAGAACTGAATATTAGGTCACATTTGGGAAATTGTCCTTTAATACATCTAGGCAGAAACATTTCCTCTTTTACCAGCAGCTAGGTGGCTCAGTGAATAGAGTGCTGGGCCTGGAGTCAAGAAGACCTGAGTTCAAATCTGGGTTGTGTGACCCAAGACAAATCATGTACTGTTTGCCTCAATTTCCTCCTTATGAAATAGAGATGATAAGAGTGCCTGCCTCCCAGGGTTGTTGTGAGGATCAAATGAGATAATAATTGTGAAGCATTTAGCACAGAGCCCGACACATGGTAAGTGCCATATAAATATTAGCTATTACTATTATCACATTCATAATTATATTATCAAGCCTCACATAACAACTTGGATAATTTCAAGCTTCTCCCTAAAACAACAACAACAAAACTGTTAAATAACCAACATTTTTATGGTGATCTTGTATGGCTTTCAATCTTGAAATATAACAATTTCAAAAGAAAGAGTGTATTATCCAGAAAAAGAGAGACAGTGGGCATAAACAGACTTCAACTTATTAGCAATAAAGAACTGTGCCTCAGAAATAGTATAAAAATGATATATGCATACATGTATGCATATATGTATGTCTATATGACCAGAAAAGGAGGTGAACCCGTCAGATTATGAGAGTGAGGGATAACTGCTGTAGAGCCTCTGTGCTCTATCGATAAATGTATCAAATTAAGAGACCTATAGGAAAGCCCCAAGCAAATAGAATGCAATCCCCACCCCCTTCTCAGCTTTTTGGGAGGTCTTGGACAAGAATCACACAGGATAAGCAAGTGTGGAAAAGTTGTGATCAGCAGCACTGAAGGGAGTGACCACCTCAGTAAGATTGTAGATCTAACAAAGTATGAGTTGCAGCAGCAATTAAAATAATAATGAATATTGTGAAAGACCTAAAATGTAATAATAACATAGAACTATTTGAAGTGCCCTAAACAATCAGAAGCAAGGGAAAAATGTTTTCCTAGAAATGACATTTTCCTCTTCCACTAAAGAATTGTTCAAATATATTAGGAACATTGATTAATATCATGCTTTTATACTCAATTCATGTCTCTCAATCATAGAAGACAAGACATAAAACACTGTAGTCTAAGAAAAATAGAAAATGAGTAGCAACTGGAGGTCAATGGAAAGGCACCTGGTGATTTAGAGCAGACTGCAACAAGATTACAGGAGGACATGGGCAAGTTACACAGATGAACAGGCATTTATAGCTTGGTCTACATTTTTTAGGGATTACCCACATTGATGATAGAACCACAGGGGTATTTGGGTTCATTTTATTTATATGTTTTAAGGTATCAGATATTCATGTGCAGCACTGGAACAGACTAGGTAGCTACATGGTGAACGTGAGGCAGCAAAGTAGAGTGCAAAGAGGGTTTTGTCTGGGGCGGGGGCGGGGCAGAGCCAAGCTGGAGGAATGAAAGCAGTGACTTGCTTGACCTCTCCCTCAAATCCCTCCAAATACCTATAAAAATGGCTCTAAACAAATTCTAAAGCAGCAGAACCCATAAAAAAAAAAGCAGAGTAAAAGAAATTTCCAGCCCAAAACAACCTGGCTAGCTGATCAGAAAGGTATATCGTGCTAGGCAGGGAGAGGAGCACAGTTTGGCGTGGGTGCGCAGGACGCAGTGACCCTGGGGCAGGCCTCAGAGGACTGAATCGCAGGCAGCTGTGGCAGTTTCCAGATTTCTCAACCCAAGAATGCCTATGACAACTTAGAAGGTCAGTGGGAAAAGTCTGTGACTGCAGTGAGAGAAGAAGCTAGGTCTCAGTCGCCCTGAGGGCAGCAGCTGCCTCCTGAGCTTCTGGCCCACAGACTGAGAGGGAATCGAGTGGCTGATTAGAAGGGGATTGCAAGGATCTCTTTGCCAGCGCTGAGGCAGGAATCTCTTGCTTTACTGGTGTTTGGATCTGGGTCACAGTTCTGAGGGGCTGTCCTGGGGTGAGGAGGAGTGCTGGCATGGTGGAGCTTGTTGTGACTGTGGAGAGGAAGCACCTTGCCCCTTATCATAGCACCTTGGAAGAACTTACACTTTTCAGGTCCCTAGAAGTATCTCTGAAAACAGCTGTACAAACCCCCAAAGCTTGGGACAGTACATTCTCCACATTGGAAACAGACTCTTACCTTAACAAAGAGTTTAAAACTCAAGTAATTGGTTGGGATCATAAGCAAGCAGCGCAAAAAGAGTCAGACTATATTATCTTACTTTGGTGACAAAGAAGATCAAAACATACAACCAGAAGCAGAAAACAAAGTCAAAGCTCCTACATCCAAAACTTCCAAGATAAATGTGAATCAGTCCCAGGCCTTGGAAGAGCTCAAAAGGGATTTTGAGAAGCAAGTAAGAGAAGTAGAGGAAAAACTGGGAAGAGAAATGAGTGATGCAAGAAAATCATAAAAAGCAAGTTAACAGCTTGCAAAAGGAGACCCAAAAAAACACTGAACAAAATAACACCTTACAAAATGGCCTAACCCAAATGGCAAAAGAGGTTCAGAAAGCCAATGAAGAAAAGAATGCCCTAAAGAGCAAAATTGGCCAAATGGAAAAGGAAGTCCAAAAGATTACTGAAGAAAATACTTCCTTAAAAATTAGAATAGAGCAATGGGAAGCTAGTGACTTTATGAGAAATCAAGACACTGTAAAACAAATCCAAAAGAATGAAAAATTAGAAAACAATGTGAAATATCTCATTGGAAAAACAACTGACCTGGAAAATAGATCCAGGAGAGAGAATTTAAAAATTATTGGACTATCTGAAAGCCATGATCAAAAAAAGAGCCTAGACATCATCTTTCAAGAAATGATCAAGGAAAACTGCCCTGATATTTTAGAACCAGAGGGCAAAATAGAAATTGAAAGAATCCAC